AATTACAGTATTTAAAGAACCCATTCATTCACTTGTCCTGCTTTCTCAGTTATTTAGACCCAGAAAGCATTACTTTTTCATAAAGACATGAAAACTATACTATTTCCATGGAAATGGATAAAACACAATTCACTGACTTGCTCCACAGTATCTCTGATTAATACAACAGCAGCCTGATTGTGAAAGAAAGCTTTTTTGGCAATCAGGACACTACTAGATAAAAAGAGGGACTCATCAGTAACAAAGGATTTTGAACGTATAGAAAGGATTAGGCAAATGCTGTTATATACTACTCTTGCCCACAACCTTTCAAATTTGGAAGAATAATAATAATAATACTGATGCTTTGTATTTATTTAATGCCCTTTACCAGATGACCTCAAGCACTTTTGAAAGGTTAGTATTGTCCCTGTTTTAGAGATGGAAAACTGAGGTACACAGAGGATCAGTATCTTGTCCAAGGTCAGATGGCAGAGTCTAGAATAGAAACCAGGTCTCCTGACTAGCTGAGTTTCAGGCATTTATACTGTGCTCATTGCCATAGTACCAAGAGGCCAGCTCCTTGACCCTACCCTTACACCACATTGCCATCTGTCTCTCTTTCCTTTTCTTCAGTGTGCTATGTCATAGTTTGACCATACTATTTCCAAACTGTTGATAGTAATGCTCACCTCTTTTTTATCTCCCACTTCTTCCAGCCGCACAGCCAGGCTGCCTGTTATGCTGGATTAGTGAGTAAGGAAAGCTGGGTGGTAAATTAACTGACACTTAATTTCCCCTAGTCAACATGAAAGCCACAATGATAAAGCGAACTCAGGCCTATCATCAGTACAAACACAGTGAATTAATTCACAATTCCAAAAGCAGTGTCCCTAACTTTCACACCTTCCTTTGCATAGAATCTTTAAGATTTTACGATTTCTCTCCTCTCATTTTTCTCTCTTTAATTTTGTTGCACTAGACAGGGTTTGTATTTTATCATCTCCAAGTTAACTAGTGCAATAAAAAGATGACAATTAGCTAGGGACTGGAAGCTCATATAATCAGTTTGCTGAGTAGCATGAATATAAGTGCAAGTCAGCTGATGGATGTTAGCCCATCCCTTCTGCTTCTGAAAATAGCAGCAACCTTGAGCTCTGAGGGGAGTGCGGAGCAAAGCGGGGAGGCTACTGTTAGAGTCAGGGGACCAATCTACATATTATTTAGTATTTGGATGATTCATACAGTTTTTGAACACAAGGGCCTCAAACAAGAATATCATCCTAATCTGAATAGGCAAATTAAACCAAAACACACCTTAACATTTGAGCAAAAGAAGTTATAAACTAGAATCAAAATGATCCTACAAAGAAAGAAAGAAACTAAATGTTGACCTGTATGTACAAAGTATAACAATACATCATGATCTTTATACATCTCTTATACAGATTTTTCTCCCTGTTCCAACTGTGTAGCTTCACAGTAAGGGAGACCCAAAACAAATCCATTAATGCTATAAATGATGTTTTGTATGACTCACTTACATCAAGACCTATTAATCCAGTAGAAATTGCAGCCAGTTAATTCTGAATTAAAGATTAAAATGTCCTGTGCTATTTCAGCTAAAGAAGGGCCATATATAATATTTAATTTTACCATTATTCTGAAGTTGCTCTTAAAATAAAGTTATGGTCAGAAAAAGGACTAAAAATCAGAGTTACTCAACAAATCTGCTCCCTGTGTGACTTTCAGCTACGTATACTAATTTTGTTGACAAAAATAAGTGTTTCATCCTGTTAGCCATGCAGAGACAATGCATCTCTACGAGAGCAAGCTGGATTCTAATCAGTCTCATGGAGCATCAACATTGTCAGCTAAGATTTAATGATAGCATCATTATTACTAGTGATGATGCAAAAGCCAGAAGAAACAGATTTGATTTTCAGATCTCAGGTGAAATTTGCAGAGTTGTCAGTTAGAAAAAACAACAACTTTGATTTGAGACAGAGCCTCTAGTTTTTAAGTGGAAACTTCCAACCATTGCAAAGGTAGTGAGAAACACATCAGTTGTAATGCTGCACTTGCAGTATAATGTGCATCTATATTTGGGCTGTTAATAATGTAGGGGGGAAAAAAGCCCAGCACCTTCTCTCTTCTGCAGACTCTTCCTTCTAGAACTACATTGTGCAGCTGGTTGCAGAAAGGGACTTTGACTACATTTGAAGCCCTGATTCTGCAGTCAGCCCATCCAGATAAAGAAAAGCACTTAAACATAAGCTTAAATGCTTTCATTGAATTGGTTCTCATTATATCCCACAGCTATCTGTCCTCCAAGAAATCATTATGTTCCCCACTGATTCGGTTTTTCTTACGCCTCTGCAAATACTGGAGGATCATGCATCCTGTGCATGCAACGCTTATGGCGATACAGCAGAGCCGTGAAGGCTACATGCTTCTGTCAGAAACAGGGCCACCCGGGGGGGGGGGCAAGTGGGGCATTTTGCCCCGGGGGGCCCCCACGAGAATATAGCATTCTATAGTATTGCAAATTTTTTTTTATGGAAGGGGTCCCTGATATTGCTTTGCCCCAGGCCCCCTGAATCCTCTGGGCGGCCCTGGTCAGAAATGGCAGACGCCAAGGAGGGTCGCCCAGGTTCGTGGGATTTTGAAAAAAGGTATAAATATTATGGGATATAGATGACATTATGGAATGCAGAGAGTTGCACACTTGGAAGTTGACCCCTTGCTCACAGTCACCCCTGCACAACACATTTCTGCCCAATGATACATTGCCAAGACTTCCCAAAAGACAGTGCACTGAACAGTGGCAAGTTGTACACTGGGATACCTACCCATGGTGCACCACACCGTGCATTGACACAAGCACTCCCAGTAAGCACACACAATGCTGACGCAAGGAGCCAAATATGCACATGCACAAGCAATACACTAACTGTGACGGCTTTATGCCAACATAACTTGTGTCGACCAAAGTATGTAGTGTAGATGTGGCCTCAGTCACCTACCTCTGTGTCAGTGAAGCTTCCCCTCCTTTCTTTGTGTCTGTTATACTCTCAGGTTACTTTGATAGATAGGTGTGAATAGCCTGCCTTGCCATACCAGCCACACAACCCTTTTTTCCCTATCAAAACAAGGGATAATGGAGTTTGCTCAAGTTCTGCACCTGGTCATACATTTCTCTCTGGCACAATACCCACTGTATTTTTTGCATTTTCCTGAAATTACCCATTTCTATGCATTCAGTCTTATTGTACCAATTTTTTTTATGTAATCTACAGCGCTCAAAAGGAATGCACTGGACCTGTCAGCATATCACTTGTTTAGAAGGCAGTTTATTTGAATAGCTGTTCTTGTTCCAGTTTGACTCATCAAGTTCCCTCAGACTAGTTTAGCATTCCACCCCGGGTGACTGTCTTCCCTTGAGAAGGTTATTTTGAATGTTAATTAGATTTTCACTGTCCTGATCTTAAGTGTCAGCCAGAAGGCTGCTCTGCCACAAACATAATATTAACCAGATTTCTACCATATTTTTCAATCATTCTAGTCTATATCCAATAGGAATTCCTTTTGTGTGAGATTCTATCCAGCACTTAGTCATTTCAAAACAGTGATGAAAATTCTATTTTGCATATTTCTATATTCTTGTGTGATAAATATTTATTCAGCTTTATAAACAGTTTAAACTAATCATTTTGAGATACAGCAACCTTTTGTTGGTTTGTTTGGTGGCGGGGCATCATTTGATTTTAAAAGATGTAATTCAGTTTTATAATCCATTGAAATTTGTACTAGGCTGTAAATCCAAAGGGAAATCTTAAACAGCACTCTGTAATCAATCTTTAATCTGTTTCTTTGCACACATGCACACACACACACACACAGTTCCTTCCTGAATACAAATAGGATCAAATTCTGAGTCTGCTCTTGTCTTGGATTTTGCCAGTTTTTAATGTGATACCATGAGATTACCTCATCCTGATATTGTAGCACTCTAATGCATCCCCAGAGGATAGTGTCACTTATGTGTAGGTGCAATTAATCACCAATGTAAAGCAACCTAGTAGTTTTTACTACAAAAAATGGTGACATCCGGGGGAAAATATTTAAGAAGAGATTCAGTGTTGTTACAAGATAGAAGACAGCCAACTGCAGAAGTTATTCACTGAGTTCCTATACCAATACACTAGCTAAATCTGCTTTTTTATTTGAGATTCTGGTTCTACAGCAGATTTAATAACCCTACTTTAACAGGGTTGCCAACTCTCATAATTTTATCAAAAGTCTCATGATGTTTAGTGTTTTTCTAAAAGCCACAGTTCCTGGAGACAAAGTTATTACTCGGGAATCTCAGCTTTCTTTTAAAGAAAAAAGTAAGTTTCTGCCCCTGGTTGTGGAAAGTTGCTTGAAAATGTAACCAAGTGTACACTAAATGCTCAAATACCAGAAAGCAAATCAAAAGAACTCAAATTGATTTTGTTCTTTTTTTAAATCCCATGATATTTAAACCAGTCTCATGATTTTGGGGGCCTGGCTCATGGTTTTTGAACATTTGGCGTTGGCAGCAGTACTGTATTAAGCTGCTGTACCTTTTCACCCTCAGGCACTGTTTCCCTGAACTGCCAGTTGGCCCATTTTTTATTTTATTTGTGTATGGGTGTGTGAGAGAGAGAGAGAGAGAGAGACCCTTCACCATCCAGTATCACACAGCTAATAATGAAGTCCATATCACATTCACACCAGTGTGAATTGCAGGCATATATATAATGCCATCTCAGCTGAACCCATGTGACACCAAAATGAAAGTTTTAAAGCTTAGCGTTTTGACTTGGTTGAGCTGCAGGCTTGGAAACGCTCTACTTCTTTAAACACAAAGTAACAATACTGCAGCTCTGTCCTACATGAGTGAACACGTTAGCAGGGCTGGTGTAAAATACTCCCACTTTCTAAATTCATTGTTATGACACCCAAGCCACCCAGCTCCAAACAATTATAAAAACCACCTTCATTCCATTGTCCTTATGTAAAGTATGTTGTTCTGAGGATGCATCTTGATGAGTTGTCTGTTACGTTGATGTGGAACTGTTTTTTGTTTTGTTTTGCGGATTTACCATGACAACGCACTATAGCAACTCTGTGTGGTAGCAGATCTATCTGTGGCCTGACATCTGGGGGGAAGTAGGCTGTTTGATGTGTGAGGAGCTAGGAACCTTCTAGACTCTGAAACAGGAACGTCCTGCTTCAGCATACCTGTTATAGTCCACAACTGTGGGACATCCCTCCACCAACAAATACCAGCAGAGATGACCTGTACCTGCCGATAAGGGGGTGGGCAGAGAGAGGGCAGCAGCTTCAACAGATGTTACTGAGCATGCTCAATACAAGCCAAGCAGCATCTCTGGAGGGGACATGTGACCCCGAGTGCTGCCCCCACACATCTGAACACCAGGGCCATCCACTGGAGAAATAGTGACTCTTTGTCTTGTGAAATACCAAGCTAATCATCAGTCCCGTCCCCCCCAAGTGGACCATTCTGTACCTTGCAGCCTTCTCATACCTCCTATTAGAGAGCTGCTTCCTTCCTCGCATAAGAACATAAGAACTGCTATACTGGGTGAGACCAGTATCCTGTTTCTAACAGTTGCCAGTACCAGAGCTTCAGGGGGAGTGTTCAGAACAGGGCAGTTGGAGTGATCCACCCATGGCTTCTGGCAGTCAGAGGTCTAGGGTCACCCTTAGCATGGGGTTGTATCCCTGACCATCTTGGCTAATAGCCATTGGTGGACCTATCCTCCATGAACTTATACAGTTCTTTTTTGAATCCAGTTATACTTTTGATTATCACAACATCCCATGGCAACGAGTTCCACAGGTTAATTGTGCATTGTATGAAAAAATATTTCCTCTTGTTTGTATTAAACCTGCTGTCTATTAATTTCATTGGGTGACCCCTGGTTTTTATATTGTGGGGAAGGGCAAAACACTTTTCTCTTCACTTTTTCCTTGCCATTTATGATTTTGTAGGCTTCTATTATATCCCTGCTTAGTCGTTTCTTTTCTAAGCTGAACGGTTTTGTAGTCTCTCCTCATGTGGACATCTTTCCATACACTTAATCTTCTTTGTTGCCCTTCTCTGAACTGTGTCCAATTCCACTGTATCCTTTTTGAAATGGAGTGCTGAGAACTAGACACAGTATTCAAGGCATGGGCACACCATGGATTCATATAGCAGTGTTATGATATTTTCTCTTTTACTTTGTATCCCATTCCTAATAGTTCCTAACATACTTTTAGCCTTTTTGACTGCTGATGCGCATTGACCTGAAGTTTTCAGAGAACTATCCTCAGTGACACACTCAAAGAATTCTATAGATTGGTAAGGCATGACTTCCCTTTACAAAAGTCATGTTGACTCTTACCCAGCAGAGCATATGTATCTATGTGTCTGATCATTCTGTTCCTTACTACAGTTTCTACCAATTTGCCCAGAACTGAAGTTCGGCTCACCGTCCTGTAATTGCCAGTATCACCTCTGGAACCGTTTTTCAAAATCAGCATCACTTTAGCTATTTTCCAGTCATCTGGTTCAGAAGCTTGTTTCAGCGATAGGTTACATACTACAGTTAGCAGTGCTGCAATTTCAGATTTGAGTTCCTTCAGAACTCTTGGCTGAATGCCCTCTGGTCCTGGTGACTTATTCCTGTTTAATGTAAGCAATTTGTTCTAATACCTCATCTATTGGCACATCAGTGTAGGCTAATACTTCAAATTTATCACCCAAAAGGAATAGCTCTGACATGGATATCTTCCCCCATGCCCTCTGCAGTGAAGACCGATGCAAAGAAAGTCAGTGTTAGTTCTATCTAAAGAAAATTGAGATAAGAGTTAAGGCTGTGCATGCTAGCATGATTTGAAGAATGAGAAGTGTGCATCGGGTGTGGTTATATGTTAGAAGTGAAAGGATGTTTGTTGTGCAGAAGATGAGAAAGAGTGAATCAGGTGCGATGACATGTGGGTGGACAAGCACATGAAGTGTGTTGGTCCAGATGTCAATGTTGATTATCTGGTGCTAGCCAAGATTTTTAGTGATTGCATTGATAGGAAATGCACTTCAACAGCTGTAGCTCAAAGTTAGCCAACTTTGGGTGTGTATGCGCGCACACAGAGGAGAAAAGTCTCTTTATAGAATATTATTGCAGGAGTTTCCCTATTCTCTTTATAGAAGTTTTAATGTTGGAAAAAAATGTGCACTTGAGCCTGCCAGGATAAGGATATTGCACTGAAAACCCCAAGTCTAACAGGGATGTCTCTCCTGTTAGGGCTAACCCCTGAGACTAATCTCTGTGGGCTTGCTCCTGCACTCGAGGAAGACAATGGCAGAATTTCCATTGAGTTCAGTGAGAGTAGACAGGCTCCATATGAAAGAAAAATGCTGCAACAATCGAGTGTTCACTTTGTAATGGTAGCGTTACTTCAGCTCATGTATCAATCATTAGTACTACAAAGTTCACGTTGTCCTATATATTGTTCACACAATATTATTTATCCCTTAAGAATCCATGGACACTGAGCACGTGTTAGAAATATCAAGATTTTAATGGACTTCAAGGACTTCAGCCTTTTAAAGGATTTTGTTCAAGTACAAGCTATAACATGGGTTTAAATTCATTTGTTCCTTTGGCCAAAGCCCCAAATGACAGCCTCTGATTGGTCACCACATTGTAGCTACACCATGTATAATTTAGACCAGGAGTGGGCAAACTTTTTGGCCTGAGGGCCACATCAGGGAATAGAAATTGTATGGTGGACCATGAATGCTCACAAAATTGGGGTTGGGGTGCGGGAGGGGGTGATGGCTCTGGTTGGGGGTGTGGGCTCTGGAGTGGGGCTGGGGATGAGGAGTTTGGGGTGTAGGAGGGTGCTTTGGGCTGGGACCGAGGGGTTCAGAGAGCGGGAGGGAGATCAGGGCTGGGGTAGGGGGTTGGGGCATGGGGAGAGGCTTAGGGGTGCAGGCTCCGAGCAGCGCTTACCTCAAGCAGCTCCTGGAAGCAGTGGCATAACCCTTCTTCGGCTCCTACACAGAGGTGTGGCCAGGTGGCTCTGCACGCTGCCCCGTCCGCAGGCACCGCCCCTGCAGCTCCCATTGGAGCACAGGAGAGGGCCATTGGAGCACGTAGGAGCCAGAGCGGGGCCATACCTGGCTTCTAGTAGCCATGTGGTGCGGCCCCTTACCCAGGGCTGAGCTGTGTGGTCTGGCCCCCGACCCAGCGCCCCGGCCAGAATGCCGAAGCAGAGCCAAGCTGCGTGGTCTTGCCTCCGACCCAGTGCCCAGGCCAGAGCGGGGCCGAGCTGCTGGTTCGGCCCCTGACCCAGCACCCCAGCTGGAGCACCGGAGTGGGGCCGAGCCACATGGTGCACCCCCCAACCCAGCGCCCCGGCCAGAGTTGGGCCGAACCCAACTCCCCAGCGGGAGCTCGCAGGCTGACTTAAAACAGCTCGCGGGCAGGATCTGGCCCGCGGGCCGTAGTTTGCCCACCCCGATTTAGACTCTGATCTATATTGTAAATGGACTTTATTACTTAGACTCCTCTTAGAAAGAGAATAAATTCCTGAACCCTTTAATTATAATAGCTGGGGACAGTGCAGGTGAGAGGGAACAATTTTACAAACTGTTTAAATGTGTATAATTGCAGTGCTTTAGTAAAAATATGTTCACCAGCTTCCCATAAACTGCTTCAGCAGACCTAATGCTCTCCATTTTACTTGATTTTTGCTAAGTTGCAACATTTTCCTTAAGGTTTACGCAAACATAAATGCAATCAAACCTTAGAAGAGCAATGAGAGAACTTACCTCTATCTTTTCCCCTAACACCCCACCAATCTTTTGTTTATTCCAGGTAACATTATTGGTTCTGGAATCTTTATTTCACCAAAAGGAGTTCTGGAACACTCTGGGTCAGTGGGACTAGCTCTTGTTGTTTGGGTGCTTGGAGGAGGAATTGCTGTCCTTGGATCTTTATGTTATGCTGAGCTAGGAGTTGCTATCCCAAAATCAGGAGGGGATTATTCCTATGTCACGGAGATTTTTGGTGGGTTAGCTGGGTAAGTATTGCATCCATTTCATCCTTCATCTTTTATGATGTTATGAGGTGCTTTGAAAACATTTTTATATTAAATATTTAGTGGAAAAAGTCAATTTCCCCTTGTGCTGAACTTGCAATTAAAGTGTCTATTTGTCTATAAGAAACTTTTATTAAGTGATTCTGACTGTTTTCAAAGAATACTATCCTGTACCTATGTCTACCTTTTGGTTATTTTAGTTCAGCTTGGTGAAAAACTCTCTGGCTAATCTCAGCCAACTGAATAAAACTGATGATGTGAAAGTACAGTGTTGCAAACTATACCATCTGGTATTTACTCACTCTCTCTCTCTCTCATAGATATACATATAGATATAACCACTGAAGATAAGTCTGAATGAATACCCTGAATCTGAGCAGCCTCAGACATGGGGAAATTTGAACTGGAGCTAGACTTCATAGTCCAAGCCCATCCCTAATTATCAGAGTAAGAAACAACATACTCCTACCTCTGTGATGTGATTTCACCCTCCCACAACAGGATATGGTAAATCACTTACAGGCCAAATTAAAATTTTTCTAGAGAAGCACTTGAGGATTTTGGTCCTTAGCTCGCACCACTGTGGTTCATATCTTGGAAGTGTACAGATCACTTCACCATGATATTCTGAAAAATTTGTAGAAGGGAAGATACGCCATTTCACACCACATGTTCCTGAACAACTGTGAGTGGAATAAAGTGATAAAGGGAGTGAGGAGGAGTAAGAAACTAAGTTTATATTGCCTGTGTATATTGCCTATAAACTATAAGTTTATACTGCATATTAAACATAAGTTTAAAAAAAGCTGTTCTTGGCCTCTATTCACATCTCTATTTTAGATACTTCTACACCTTCTGGATTCCTTGGCGATTTTATAATCAAAATAGGTGTTTTATGTGTTACTGTTTTATATACGAAGAGTAAACACACTCTGTGCAAACTTAAATGACAAAATGAATGGGGGTGGGTATTGACTTTTTTTAGTATTAAACAAAAATATTCTCTCATTTTAGCAAACTGTCATGTTCAGGACAGTGAGGCCCAGGCCTATAATGTGAAACATTCCCTGTGGACTATAGCTTTGCTCATGCTTGTCAGATGACAGTCCTGTTTTCCCACACGTCCATCAGTTTGTTTCTCTGTACAGACAGCTACTGCAAATGTAAAAAATTACAAGGTAACTTTCAGATACTGACCACAGGATTCAGGCCACTAAACAAATTTCTGTATGAACCTGGGTTCCTGAGATGAACCATCACTTTATTAAAATCCCTCAATGACCGATTAGCCACTTATGTGACACACTTTGCATATAGCACCAAAGAATTCAGGATTGAAGATGTTAAAACAACCAGGCTACCTAATCTCTTAAGAACTAAGTGGCTCATTATGTCCTTGTGGGAATAATTCAAAATAAGGAATGGAGAATGTACATTTTTAACCAGCAGAGTGTACTTTGAATTCTTCCATTCGAGAATAGAAAGTAAGATGGCTCCATGTATGCAGCATTGTTTTTCCCTGGGGTGGTCGGGAAAGGTATTCTTCACTCGAGTTAGCTAACTCTTGGCAAAATCCTAGTGAAGACAAAGCAGCTTGTAGTTTTCACATGAAATACTAGGTTAAGCAATTTAAAGACTATGGTTTACTTTCAAGAAAACTACAAACTGTTTTGTCTTCAACTAGAATTTCACCTTGAGTTAGCCAACTCAAGTTACTATCATATCTTTTTTCTAGTGAACACACAGCCAACCCGGCTGAGCTCAGGGATTCAGTTACAGGAACACAATGTCCACACAAGGGCCACTTGCTTCCACATTGCCACCTGCTTCCCATGGATAGCAATGTTGCTGCCAGGGACATGTTGCTGCCAGGGACATGGTGCCAGCAGTTTTTGTAATCATGGCTGCTCCTTGAAATGGGGGGAAAAGCATAAGACACTACAGACAATGCCACTTGCTATTATATGAATGTTTCATATAAGGGAACCCAGAAAGTCAGTATTCACCACCACAATTTCACAATATCCATTAATTTTAGTAAGAGAAAAAAAGAGAGTAAGAGAAAAACCCTAATAAAAAATTGGAGAATAAAACCTAATTTCGTTCCTAATCAAAGTGACACTAGCCAGGCAATATCAAGAGAAGTATAATCTTATCTCCTGATGAAAAATAATGCTCCAATTCTCTAGCTCCAAAATGACTTTATTTGTGCTCCCGAGAGAACCAAAGGATGTCATAAGAGTATGACACAGGGTTGTTTTAGCTGAGAAGTCTTCAGGCACCTTTTCTGGCTAAGTGGTAGTTGAGGAAGTGGGGAAGGAAAAGAACACACAAGGGGAATAACTAAATTTCACACCCCAGATGGTGTTTGGGAGATTTAGTGGAAACCAGTGGAGGTGATGATGTCATTTGGGTCCTTTTCTTTGGCCAAGTCTGGTCAGGACATCTCTCAGGAGCAGGCCCAGTAGTGTCACTGTGGATCCCAGGAGATGCCGGGGTGGCAGCCATAATGGTGAAGCCCATTGTGGTCTCCCATCTTTCAGGCAGCCAGCATTCTGGTTGCTAATTTCTCCCAAAGTCTCTTTTTTGAGGACCCAGACGTGAATGGTGGGAGGAATAGTCCATCCCCTGATTATTTTGTCCACCAATTAGGCCTAATTTCCAACACACTAATTTTAGTCCATTGATTTGTAGTCCCACTCTTCTTTCTTTTACTAGGCATGATTTTAACAATCGTTGAGTTATTTTGTTCAGACTCATTTGGTCTTTGTCTCCCTTTTACACCTTTCCCATCAACATTCATTGTGATAAGTTATTTAACACTTTATAAACTTGTATCCACTTTCCCACTGTTAGGCTCACTAGGCCTCAGTTATCACTACAGAGGTCTGCTCACTGGGATAGTGGTTAATCTGAGAGGGAAACCTCGACAGTAGAAAAGTGGGGTCCCAACAGGGAATCCTAGTCAGGCCTGTGGTGGAGGGCAGTGGGAGCTACTTAAAAGGCAGGGAGGACTAGACAAGCAGAAGGCAGCTGGTATGGGAAGGGCCAAATCGGAGTAAGCAGCATTGAAGGTGGATAGGGATGGAGAAACAGTGGTAGGATGGTGCTGGGAATATGCTGGATGATACTGGAGGGGCAGAGAAGGAGAGAGATTGGCTTTGTGAAGGGACTGAGCATCTGCATGGGATGAGGGAAGAAGCAGCTGCAGGAAAGGATATAGACAAAAAGATGGGAGCAGCCTCCTATGTGCTACTCTTTATGGCAGGAATGACCCTGTGCCTGCATGTCCCAGGAGCACAGTACGAAGATGAGAAAGGAGTGCAGGACTGTGCGCCCTGGGTGTAATTATTTGCTACAGCAAATTATCAAGGACAAAGTAACCAAAATGTTGAATTTCTAAGGCCAAGCTGATTGAGATCCAGCACTTTGGGGAACTTTACAAATATGTTTATGGGAATTATGTCCTAAGGGAGTGGGGCACTCAATTCCCATTAATTTTAATGAGAACTGGTCTTCCAAATCCCTTAGGCATCTTTAAAAATCATGCCATAACTCTGCTGTTCTTTTCCTTAGTAATCACACAAAACCCACAGTGTAGCAGTGTCCCTTTGCACATACAGTTTGGATTAGCTTTTCTCTTTGTCATATTTTTGCATGATGAACATTTCCAAGGAGGAGTCACACACACTCTCTCTCTCTCGCTCTCTCTCATTCTCATTGTTTAGGTACAAAGAAAAAGAGTTGGATGGTATAGCACTAGCTTTTGGATCTTATGCCAATGAGCCTGTTTTTTCCTTTTTTCCTTTTATTTTTATGATATAATTTTTAAATAGCATTTGAATATGATCACACTAACTGCAGTATTTTTGACACATCCTGTATTGCCAAAGCAGTATAACTGGGTGCAGTGCATTTGCATACATATCGATTTTCATGCGTACACAGGTCATAAAAAGAACATTACCCAAAATAGTAAATAATAGGCTTCATATGTATGCCTGTGGCATTTTTACCAACAAATTCAGGTTCATAAAACTTACCTATGCATTTCTGATAAATATAATCTTTCTTCTCTATGCTCAGTAAGAACAATGTAACTAAAGGTAAGTTGTATTTTTTTTTATCAGATCATGATTGACCATATCAAGTACTTAATATAAATCAATAAATATTACATCCAGCATAGAGACCTAACCCAAGGCTTTAATAAATGTTACCTCAAACTTTAAACAAAACGTATCTTAAATTAACTTATAAGACGTTAAATGTTTTCATTTATTACAAAGCCTCAAGTTTCTGAAGGCAAAAATTCAGCCTGCATTTGATACAATGCTAGTAATAATTAGAATGGTTCTCTCACTCAAGGAAAGAGAGGCATTGCATGCAGGAAGAGTCCACGAGGAAATGAGACCTTGCTCCGCAGTTTTGTCTCCTTCCTCCAGGACTCTCTAGAGAGTAACCAAGCAAGAACTATCATGGATGCTGAGGAATTAAGAGCAATAAATATAATACTCAGCACTTTCCACTTTCAAAGCATTTCACTAACAAGCAAGTTGTTTCACAGAGTACCCCGAAGAGGCCTGTATTATCCCACAGATGAGGGAAATGAGGCTCACCCAGGCTGCAATTTGTTCTAGGCCTCATTTAATCTGACCCCTCTAAATCAGTGGTTCTCAAACTAGGGCCGCCGCTTGTTCAGGGAAAGCCCCTGGCAGGCTGGGCCGGTTTGTTTACCTGCCGCGTCCACAGGTTCGGCTGATCACGGCTCCCACTGGCCGTGGTTCGCCGCTCCAGGCCAATGGGAGCTGCAGGAAGCAGCATGGGCCGAGGGACGTGCTGGCCACCCTGAACAAGCAGTGGCCCTAGTTTGAGAACCACTGCTCTAAACCACTGACAAGAACAGTTACATTTTTCCCTAGGCCCAAATCCTCAACGGTACTTAGGCACATTACACTTACTGATTTCAGTGGGAGTTAGGCAACTAAATATCTTTGAGGATTTGGGCCCTAGCATAGATGCCGACTCCGTGGGTGCTCCGGGACTCAAGCACCCATGGAAAAAAATAGGGGGTGCTTAGTACCCACCATCCACAGCTGTTGGGTGGGCCCTGGGGCTGGCTAGCTGATCAGCTGTTCCGCGGGGCCTTGGGGCTGGCCGCCAATCAGCTGTTAAGCAGCTTGTGGGAGAGGTTCGGGGAGGATGGAGAGGAGCAGCAGCAGGATGGCGGGGAGCTTTGCGGAAGGGGGCTGAGAGAAGTGAGCGACAAGTGGGTGGGGGGGCCTCAGGGAGGGGGCAGAGTGGGAGCAGGAAGAGGTGGAGTGAGGGCAAGGCCTCGGGGGAAGGGGTAGAGTTGGGGTGGGGCCTTGGGGCGGAGCATCCATGGGGAAAAACAAAAGTCAGCGCCTATGGACCCTAGTTCTTATTTTAAACTGTCTAAACCTCTTTCTAAAATGTCTGACTCCTTCTCAGCTTTGGTAAGGCAAGAATGATTTTAACATCTCAGATTCCACCATAGTGAATTACAGAGCAATCCCAAAAGTTTATCAGATAATGCTTCAGCTTCTGCTTTCCTGACATTCTCAGACACACAAATCCAGTCTCAGGAGAATGACTTTCCATTCAAATGCCTGGGGCAGTTAACTGAGTACATGGCATAACTGCCCTTTTTTTTTCAAAACTGAACTTTTTGTATTATCTACTTGGGTTAAATCCCCTAGTATGCTATCTTCGTGACTGGAACTGTTAATAAGATAAAACACTGCAGCTTTAACCATTTGCCTTGCTGTTTAGTTTGGCAGTTATGTATTCCACTGACAATACAGACATTTAAACACAATTGTGTCCAAAAAAGCCCTGTCTCACTTCAACCCAAGTTAACCATAGGCCACGTCTCCACTATGGGTGTTACAGTGGCACAGCTACAACACTGCAGCTATGCCACTGTAGTGCCATTGCGCAGATGCTTCCTACAGCAGCTGAAGGGGTTTTTTCATTGCTGTAGGTGATCCACCTCCTCAAGCAGTGGTAACTAAATCAACAGAAGAATTTTTCCATCAATCTAGACACATCTATAGTGGGGGGGGGGGTTTAGTCAGCTTAATAAAGACATTCAGGAGGGTGAATGTTGCATGCCTCTGAGCATGGTAGCAACATAGACCTAACTTTTAAATATAGTCCAGGCCTTAGTTTACTCAAAACAGTTCTTTTTCTGTTCTGCAAATCATATTCTCCCACCTGTGTCGTAGGTTAGAGCCAAACATTACCGTGGGGACTCATCATGTTGCATAACATCTGTGCATTAATTCCCCCAAGCTTAATAGGAACAAATTGAACCCCTTTTAACAAATAGCAGTTTGGGCTCAAGTGTTAATATCTTTTACTCAAGACTAGGATTTAATTAAAACACCTGAGACTAATAGCAAAATTAAGATTAAAATATGCCTAAATGTTAATTGTGTCATCCTTTCATCTTTATTTGATCTCTGTTTTGAACTCCTTGTTTGACAATTTGGCTTCATAATCCTCTGGCAACAATCTGCATTTAACTTAATTGGTTTTATCAAACCTGCATGTATTTCATTCTATGTGAAACAAATTGAGTATCAGATCTCTCTACTGAATTATTCACATTCCCAGTAAATTTCATAGTACCAAATACCAATTTTAATGTGTTTAATATTGCAATGTACAAGTGACTGCCGATGTTGACTGAGATATTGCTTTTCGGATCTGATTTTCAAATTCTTGCTTCCAATGGGCATATGTAGTTTCACCTGTATACACCACTATGTAGACTTTGCTGCATTCACCACTGTACATGAAGATATTAGAACAAATACTCCAGTCCTTGCACTCACACCAGTCCACACCCATCAAAATTCCATACACACAGGCAGAGGCTGGTTTGAGGGGAAAGGTGCACTTTCATTTGACCAGAAGAGTAATCAGGTGAGTCAGCATTGTCAGAGATCAGCATTGTCAACAACTGATTATTTCAATCTTTAAGTTTTATTAATCTTTGATTATTTAACCCTCAGGCTCTAACATTATAATCCAAATAAATTCCTTTTGAGAGAATCCAAAAGAACTTCTCCTTTAAAATATGTTATAACTAAGTAAAATTCACATCCCAAAGACAGCTACCAACAGCACAATAACCCCCTGATGTTATGCTTTTTCACACAGCCACAGGATAGCAATTATTATGTAAAATTCAGTGTCTGTACAGTCCCTAGCACAATGGTATCCTGGTCCATGACTGGCGCTCCTAGGCACTTGGTTAATACAAATAATAATAATAATAATAAACAGTGTGAAAGAACTTGGCTGAACTAGCTTCTTTAAAGAGATGGAAATGGTAGGAAATGGAGGGAAAGAGCCACTCAAAAAAAGTAAAGAGAGAGAATGCAGTGGGGTTTTTAAAGTACATTGTCATTTGGAAATGTAACCAATTATTTCCATATGCCAGTTGATTTACAAAGTTAATGATACAATGGTTTATAAGAAAAAGAAAGTGTGAGAACATGCCATACTCCTCTGGAACAAAAAGGGGAAAACTAACATAACAGGAATGAAGAGTACTTACCAGCTACAAGAAAGGAGGGTGCAGCAAAGAACAATGAGTTGCAAAATGTCTCCTTTAGGGCTAGAGCTGCTTTGCTCTGCCAAATTTAAAGGGCCAGCTACAGAAAGGCATGCTGGGAAAGAAGAGCTTATAAGAGAACAGGTCCCTGGTCTAGGCAGCTTTAGTATGAACTAGAAAGTAGCCAAGAAAAGATGCCTGGGAAACAATTGTATCTGTGTTGTGTATTCCACTACTATATATATATATATATATATATATATATAAAAGAATCAGTAGCATCTCATCTTCTTGCATTGATTATATCTTACCACATAGTTCCCATCCAATTGATAAGAAAAAAATGTATTTTAAGTTAAGCTGAATGCTTCCCTCTTAAAGTAAAAACCACTGAACATGTGGAAAGTTTGTGGAGCTCAGTCTGACCAAAGGAGATGCCTCTGAAGTGTTCAGAAGTGAGGTCTGAAGGTTCTGTTCCTGCAAGAAGGAAGCCCACTGGACATCAAAATATCTTGGTCAGAGACAAGCAACCCATAAATAATACTTTTTCTTTATATACCCCTTTCAGCCAGTGATCTCATTTTATAAACATCAACTAGGCCTTCCTACATCTTTCTGAGGCAGGTATTTTTATCCCCTTCCACAGAGTAAGCAACTGAGGAATGTAAAGGCCTACGTTTTCAAAAGTATTCACTCATTTTGGGCAAACCATTTCAGCTACCATTGAAGTCAGTAGAAGTTGTGGGTGCTCAGTTGCTCTTATTCAGGTCCTATGTGTCTCAGGTTGGGCTAACAAAAACTGAAACACCTATAAGTAAAGGGCAGGCAGAAACTTGACACAAGTCACAGCGTCCGTGGCCCAGCTAGGAATATAGCTCAGAACTTCTGCTCTAGCCATTAGACAATGCTCAAGACAACTTTAAGATTAAAGAACAAAGAGTGTGTTGTGGTAACACATAATGCTAGAACACATCTTTTTCCTTTCCAGGGGCACCATTTAATCCATTGGTGATACTCTCACTGTGACATGCAAAGCTAACTCAATATGCTGACAGAATGTCTCTACTCCTTGTTATGTGCATGTTTAAACTGTGTGCTACATCGCATCCAATTTATATGAAAAAACAGATTGATCTGGGAAAATAAGAGTAAGAAAGGTTGGGGGGAAACCAGAGAAGTGATTGTTTTGGTGGGGTTTAGAAAAATAGCTACCTAATTCTGAGGCTCCTATAAAGATAGTCATCAGATTATGAAACTGTTGTACAGTCAAATGATTCTTACTGGTGTAACAGCAGCACCAATTGTTTTTCTTGTGAATACAGTTTTTTGCTGCTATGGAGTGCAGTGCTTATCATGTACCCTACCAGCCTGGCTGTTATCGCACTGACATTTTCAAACTATGTTCTACAACCGGTGTTCCCTAATTGCATCCCACCTTATAATGCCTCCAGGGTCCTCTCCACGGTGTGTTTATGTGAGTATTGCCTAATGTTCTTTATGCTCCTATGAAGTTTAGGTCATGTTTACGTCAAAGAGGTTTAATATTCTCTTAGGGGCAAATCCATCCACCACCCCACCCCAAAGGTCACTGGAGTCCCCTTTGCAGCAACCAAGGCAGTTCCACTATGGTGGTCGGAGGCTGAATGTGGGGAGGGGAGGTGCTATATATCATGCTGGCTTAGCTGAGTCTTATTTTCAGTTTCATTGTGTGCTATAGGGTGATATATTCCACAAAGCAATGGACCAAAGAGGAGGTGTGCACATCTGGATTAGGTATAAACTGAGGTCTGAGGTTCAGGTTGAAAGATGAATAAGGGGTGGGACTCAGTATGAGTAACTAAGACCCTTTTACTCAGGGGTTATCAGACTGGGGGTCGGGACCCCCTCAGGGGGGTCATGAGGTTATTACATGGGGGGTTGTGAGCTGTCAGCCTCCATCCCAAACCCCACTTTGCCTCCAGCATTTATAATGGTGTTAAATATATAAAAAAGTGTTTTTAATTTATAAGGGAGGTTGCACTTAGAGGCTTTCTATGTGAAAGGGGTCACCAGTACAAAAGTTTGAGACTCATGGCTTTTACTCTATTTAAGCCACTGTTGCTAACTCAACAAATGGATTAGCAATTCGCAAGTCCTTTATGTGTGTGTGTAAAAAACCAAATGCCACCAATTCTTAATTAATTACTAAGGTCCCAGAGGGGAGCAAATCAGAATGAAAAGGGATGGAGAGACTCACCACTTCCCCTCAGGCCTGGTCTACATTACAAAGTTAGGTCAATGCAAGGCAGCTTACATCGACCTAACTACATAAGTGTCTACACTAACATTTCGCTCCTGCTGTCATAACTTGCCCACTACACTGATTTAATAACTCCACCATCACGAGAAGCATAGAGTCAATGTCAATGCAGTTATGTCAACACAGTTTCAGTGTAAATACTATATTGCTAACATCGACTGTTGCTGGCTTTCAGAAGCCATCCCACAATGCCCCACACTAACAGTTCAATCAGTGCTCCTGATGAGGACGCACGCTGCTAACACAAGGAGCAAAGTGTAGACACACACAAGTAATGTAATTACTGCGGCAGCTGTATGCCGACATAAATTAGGTTGACTTAATTTTGTAGTGTAGACATGCCCTCAGTTGACATAAGTCCCTTCCCACAATTAGGACTTCCTAAGTATTGATGGGGCATCCAGAATAGAGCTCTGGCAAACTTCCTTCTGAAACAGGCAGTTTTCTAGGGTGGAGTTAATCCTGCTCGTCAGACCCATCCAAACCCAAGGTAGATTTCCATCTGGTCTGCTGATAGGAAACTAGCAGTCTATGTTTCTCAGCATTTGTTGATGAATATTCCGAAATATACAAAATTTTGTTCCACTGAATTCGGTTTTCTGCTCTCTAGTACTCCTGACTTGGGTGAACAGCTCCAGCGTTCGATGGGCAACTCGCATCCAGGATATATTTACAGCAGGAAAACTGTTAGCCTTGGCCCTTATCATTACTATGGGCTTCATACAGATCTTTAAAGGTACTCACTGAGAAAGCCTAAACATCGGTACTGTACTCTTGGTGAAATTAAATTCTCTTTGGAAAGCCTATTGCGCCCATCCCATTGTTTTCTAGTTCTTAGCAGGCCGGGGAAGAGTTCTGAGGGCCTATTTCATTTCCCCTGCTGACAGAGTTCTCTGCTACAATTAGCAAGCATTTGGATTTGAAAGAAACTGGACAAGGAGGTAGCTGGTGAAGTTACTTGATCTGTGGGAGGGCAAGTTTCAAGCAGAGCCTAGCAAAGACACCACTGTGTACGATGGACATAAATATGTGACTAAACTGAAAATAATTCATGGTAATTGCTGTTAATTGAAGCTACAGGATTCCTTCCAAGTATGGGTGCAATCACAAAGGAAGTATTCTTCAGAACATAGCATGATAAGTAATTATCGAACAGGCAACACAGTACAAAAATAAGATATAGCATCCTTACACAAGTTTCTCTCTCAAAGAAAACTGTTGTTTTCAGTAAAGTAAAGTAAAGCACTAAACTGAAATATTGAGAAATATCTCACTGGGTAGATTTATAGTGTAATTTTTTCAATGACATGTTCCTCAAATTTTAAATTGCTTTTGATGAACTCTGTATACAAGGCCCCAAATCAACAAGCAATGTAAGCAGTTGCCTAACTTTAAGTATACGAGTAGTTCCAGTTCCCCTGGAAGCAGTGGGACTACTCACGTACTTAAAATTAGACAAGTGCTTATGTATCTTACTGATTCAGCCCCATAATGAAAAGTACAGGACCCAAGGGATGATGATGTTTTCAGCATGTGTGAAATGGGTCATGTAGAGAGGACAGAAATACAGTATTTACAACTAACCAGGAAGAGAGGTTAAAAAATTGTGCATAGTTAGGCGAGGGCACCACGTTCCAGGTTAAAAATAAAAAAGCCCCACAGCTTGAAAAATTCCACCTGCCCTGCAGGGTTTTGTTCTGAGTAGAGTGAATGTTATTGAAGAACTCTGGGTTCCTGTAGAGGAGCCATTCACTCCATTCAGAAGAGATGAGAGTTTAGGGCATCAGATACCAATGCTGAGCTGGTATAAATTGTCATAGTTCCATTGACGTCAATGGGGATCACACAGGTTTTGTGGCAGCTCTGTCAATATAGCTAGTACTGTACTATTGGTGAAATTAAATTCTCTTTGGAAAGCCTATTGCACCCATCCCATTATCAATACAGCTGTGACAATTTACACCATCAAGGCTGTGCCATGGGATAGTTTTGTATGAGAATCTAAAGGAAGCACTGGTAGTTTGATGTTCATGTTTCCCAGTTCTCAGGGTGCAAGCCAGTGAAGCACAGTCTAAGGTTAGTAAACATAATATAAAATGGAATGGGCACAATTCTAGGAAGTTTACAACTTCCACCGATCAGCACTTCCACCAGTCAGCATCATAATATTTTACACTTTTGACTTAACTTCTTGCTTTTGTTCTGTCTATAGGAAACTATGAAGAACTGACACCAAGCAATGCATTCAATTTTTGGATGTCTCCATCTGTGGGACAGTTAGCATTAGCTTTTCTTCAGGGGTCATTTGCATTCAGTGGGTGGAACTTCTTGAATTATGTAACAGAAGAATTAGTTGATCCCCGCAGGCAAGTATTTATTTCCATATGACCCAGATACTTTTGAGGTAAAGACAGTGGGTCAGTCTGCTGGTACCATGCACAGTGTGTTCTGCAGCAGGACTGACATCACTAAATGTCTATACATATCTAAAGTAAAGGTAATTAAGGTTATCACCTGCTTTTTTAGATCCCATATGGGGCAAGTTAAATGAAGATGCTGAAATTAAGAATGTCTTTGGCCCATCAAGTTAGACATAGCTCTCACCGAACGAAGATATCATATAGGTGTAACACTGACATTATGGCACTACTGAACTGTCTATTGCTTACATATTAATCTATATTAATGGGACTAAACATAATATAACTACCTATTGCTTATATGTTAATGGCACTAAACATAACTAGTTATTGTTTATATATCAATCTATACCATTGATGGGATGCCTCACAAAATTACATTATATTTTATGTGTGTGTGTATTTTATATCTATATAATACCAAAACATATTGTCTGTTGTCTTGGTTCTTCAGACAACATTTCCCCCAAAGGGAACACATAAAGAAGAGATTAAAATGTCTTTTTTACAGAAGAGGCAGAATTTTCCCTTCCCCCTCCCCTCACCCCACTCCATTTATGAAACACTTCTGAACCTGCCTTCTTCTGTGGTATGTGCAGTGTGGATGCTGGCTGTTGGCTGTAGGAATAAAGTTCTCTAAGGGTGATTGGCATCATGTTTGGTGCTGATAGTCCAGGCTTTGAAATGAGTTATCCCCCATCATGTTTGAAAAGCCAGGGGGAGAGTGATTTCCACCAAGAAGCAGCAAAAGCTCAAAGGTTTAAGAATTTCTGAGATGAAAAAATGGAATGATGAATTCACATGACACTTCTTGGGTCTTCAATTGGTTCTGGATGTTCAGCACACATACCTCACCCCCAATTAAGCAAGGTATAATTTCAGGTATTACACATTCTGGATAGACACAAATTACAGCCTCAATCCTGCAAAAACTTATCTGCATACTTTAACTTTACCTATGTAAGTAGTGAGATGTTCATGTACATAAAGTTATGCATATTTATAAATCTTTAACGAATTTCAGGGGGAAAGGAGGCAGGTATGGTGCTCTCTCAAGCAACTGTAAACATTTTCACAAACATCCAGAATTTCTGAGCAAAAAAGAAACAAGGGAAAGAGTTAATGCAGTGATTGCCAGCAGAAATTGGATACTGCTATCAAATGCACAAGTTTAAGAACAAAAATAATTCAGTTTGTGCTTTGTAGCATCTTTAGCTACAGGGAAAAAAAACAGTTTGGCACACAGTTTAACTTGATGGGTTATCAAGAGTGTTAGAGATGCCAATTCCAGCTCTCTGAAAGTTTTGCAACAGAATTTTATCAATTCTACGGTTTTTGAGGGAGAAATATAAAATAAAAAGCTATTTTCATTAGGGAAAAGGAATAAAACGCAACCTCATGTCTATACCAAAACCTTGCAAAACTACACTGGTGAAAACTATTTATTAAACTTTTTTGCTAATCTGACAAAGCCAAAAATCAGAGCTATAGTGAACACATTCTCCTGAGTGGAGCGTACACACTAAACAGCTCTTAGGGTCAATAGCATGCTTCTATCACTTGGCAAAGTTCCTCAGTGAATAAATGAGAGAAAAAGGCAAGTCCATTACTTTCCATGGCATCATTTTTATCAAAGAGAGCCTCGTGTAAACTAAATTAAACTTACAGGAACATTATTAGTCTTGTTGGTTATCACAGTAATAGCTTACACAACATAGAAAACTTATAGGAATTCTTTATGAAGAAGAAGCTTTCTGGTATCTCCATCTCAGCCATGTTGTAAATTCTGTTTGATGGTCTTCAGCTCTGTGGCGATATCCTGTGTTATATGGATTTATAATCTACACATACATGAAGCCCTGTAATGGTTTTAGTATTCTCAGAACTGCAATATGTCAAGCTACTGAGAGAAGTACAGTTTGGGGTGGGGGGAGGAAGGAGGGGAGTTTCTCTTGTTTTGTTCTATGTAGCGATAGGGCAGTAAAGCACAAAACTGGATATAAACTCCCATGAGGGGGAGGGAGAAGGGGGTGGGGTGGTATGGTCCAGTTATATGTGAATGTAATTTCTTATCAAACCTCCTAATTCTTCAATTAGGAACCTACCTCGTGCCATATTCATATCCATCCCATTGGTGACATTTGTGTATACATTCACCAATATTGCATATTTCACTGCCATGTCACCTCAAGAGCTCTTGTCCTCCAATGCTGTGGCAGTAGTAAGTAAACCATTCCATGGATGTCTAAAATATACTTTAATTTCAGTTCTGTGCTGTGCAGTATATTTCAGTTTCTCTGCCTTCTGTTGCTTTAGACATTTGGTGAAAAGTTACTGGGCTATTTTTCCTGGGTTATGCCAGTCTCAGTGGCCTTATCTACATTTGGAGGAATAAATGGATACCTTTTTACCTCATCAAGGTTAGCTGGAGTGCAATTTTATGAACATTGTCTAATTTGGGGAGGGGATGCTTTAATGTAATTTGCTGCAACAATGCTAGCTAGACATTTTATGTGTTACAGAACGATCTCAGTGTTGGGCACATTAGATGCATTAAATTATGAATTGTTCCATTTCAGTCAGCAGATATCATACTGAATAGCAGGATCTCCTGCAAAAGAGCCCTTATGATCTACTGGAATGTCTGCAGGTGTGATGGAATGATTTGTACTAAGAATAAAACATTGGCTACATATTTAGACAATGTAATTTTACAATAAAGTTTCAGTAGCTATAAGCTAAACTATGTTTAGCTCAAAAAGTAGATTGAAGAAACGAGGGTTATAGGGCCAAATTCCATTCTCAGTGACATGGACATAAATCCGAAGTAAACATTCATTTGAAGGGAAGTTTACGCTGGTGTAATTGGAACCAGAATCTTGCCCATAGTCTATTACATTTTTTAATTTAATAGAAATATGAGTTCTGTAAGAAAATAAAATACAAACATCTGTCAGGAAAGAGATAATAATACAGCTCTTTGGTGCTTTAGCCAAGTCACGTACCTTCGTGCTCTCAAAATGTGGTGAGAGCTGACAAACCAGGGGACATTTAAAAACATACAACAATTCATAACAATTTATGTATTTAAAAAAATAAAACCTTGAGAGATACTGGGCCTGATCCAAAGCCTATCAACTGGAAAGACTGTTGATTTAGGCTCTATCGTAGATATTTATATGGCTCCCATCACCAGAGAATCTGAAAGCCCACGGTTTTTAATGTATTTATCCTCAAACATCCCTGTGAGGTAGGGCAGTTCTATTAGCCCTATACTTACAGATGGGGTACTGAGCCAATTGAGACTAAGGCCCAGATCCTCCTCAAAGGTATGTGGGTTCCTAACTTCCAAATACCTTTGAGGATCTGAGCCTAAGTGGCTTGCCCAAGGCGCACAGGAAGTGTGTGGTAGAACAGGAAATTGAACCCCGACTCCAAAGTATCAGACTAGCACCCTAACCACTAGAACATCCTTCCACTCCAAGACTCCCGTAGGCTTTGAATTAGGCCAATTAAGGCTGATGAAACAATACAGCTAAATGTTGGAATAACTTGTATACTGAATGTTCCTATTCTGCTTCCCAGGTTATGTTTTTCTGGAGCTCGTGAAGGTCACTTGCCCAGCTTGCTTGCTATGATTCACGTTAAACACTGCACCCCAATCCCTGCCCTTCTAGTGTGTGTAAGTTTTACTTTTTCTGTCACAATGTCTCATCTGCTTGAACAGGAGTGCAATTTAGAAAAATCTTTATTTGCAAACTGAAATGCTTCGTTTAAGAAATTGTGAACCCTTTTACCGATTCTGTTAGCTCAGTGCAAACGTGGAGAAAATCTCCCCGCAGTCGATGCTAATTCCACTCCACAGGGCTAGTTTAGAGCTTGCTGCCAAGCTAATAGCCATAGTGGGCCCAAGGTACAGGGCTAAATGCTACTCGTTGTTCAGTAAAACTAGATGCTTTGTGCAGTGATACCTTGAGCTTCTGGAGAATCAGGATGTCTTCCCTTTACTTTGGCCCTGTAAAGAAAGTGAGTAGAGAATATCAGTGTAACAGATCCAAAAGAAGAATATCCCAGCTGAACACATTGGGTAAAATAAGGGGGACACACAATTATATTAAAAAGCTACACACTTTAAAATGTAAAAAGGAAGGATTTTGATTCATTTCTTGGTTAGTTTTTTTACACAATGTAAACTTATCTTATAGCAGTGAGTTCCACAAGTTGTTACTCAGATTGAGTTGTTAGCAAGATGGTGGGGTTGAGCCCAGCATTTGGTCTTAAAAATGTGTCTCGTCATCTTGAAGGAAAAAGAGGGAGAATTATTACTCACCCCCAACTCTCTCTTACTCCACGACACATCATGGGGATCAAGACCACTTCCTTCCAGAGTTTAGCTGGGGGTCTAAAAGGTTGTAGTAAGATTAAAATGTGCAGTTATATTTTATTTTACATTCCTCATGCTTCAATAACTGTTAGCATGAAAATTCCCTCATAGGCACATTGGCTGAAATCTTGGCCCCACTGCAGTTAGTGAGAGGCTTTTGCATTGCAGTGATAGTCAACTGACTTCAGCACAGCTAGGATATTCACCCATAGGTGATGTTATTCTCCCAGTGTGTGGCTAGCTATAGCAGTAGTGCTATCACAGCCCAGCACTATATTTTTCTCAGTAACCGTTCTGCATAGTTTATGTTTATATAAAAATCATGATTTAGCCAAAAGGTGGCAGTGCCCTGGCATCTTTCCTGCCCATACACACCCACATAACTCAATGTCTGGAATCTTTTCTGGTTGAGCTGCACTACACAATCAGTGTGGTGTGTAAAAAAAAACAAGCTCCAGCATGGACTCACATTGGGTAGCTGAGCTGTGATGATGCATATGAAGCAAAGTCCCTTTGTCCATAAAAATACATCAGCTCAAATAACGTGCTGAGTGTCAGTGACTATCACTTTGTGAACTAGCCAGAGCGTAAGCAAGCTCCCTGTGCAGAGCAGAACTGGCAAATCAAACAAATGCCAGCTACCCAGTTTGTAGAGAACATTCCCTTTAAATTACTGTGCAAATTACAGAACCAACACTGCATATGAATGAATCATTCAGCGGTAGGGGTTTATTTTACATCTCGGGATGTACTAAGTGTTGCTCTGAAATATTAATTTCTATATACATAGTAATATAAAAATAATATACTGTACACAGTTACAATAGTAAATTATGTCAGACTTTAGGCAAACCTAATTAATGCATCAGGATTTTTTAAATGAATCATAGCCTGTGCATTAAGGTAGACCTAGTTAAGGTCTCAGAAGATTACCATGTTTTTGCTGTTCCTTTCCAAAATCGGGTGTTTAAACAAGGTGGCCATTAATGCAAAATGAATGGGGTTCAGACCATTTAAAAGTCTATTTTATTGGGGTGCACAGTTCAATAGATTCAGATCATGGAAGTTCCTTCACCTGAGGTTTTCAAAAGGAGGCTGGATAGCCATCTGTCTTGGATGGTTTAGACACAGCAAATCCTGCACCTTGGCAGAGGATTAGACTAGATGACCCTTGCGGTCACTTCTATGGTTCAATGATTCTGGATGCTATCACGTTAGGGTGACCATATTTCCCAAAGGCTGGGACTGGCGTCGCTGCTGGCTTGAGCCCTGCCTCCCCCGCTGTGTGGGGTTGGCATTGCTGCTCACCACCAACTCCCGCACATGTTCCTTTGTGCCCCACTTTCTTGACAAAAGTGGGCATTTGTCCTGTTTGCTCTTGCCAGCTGATCAAGTTGGCAAGAGCAAATGGGACAAAATGCCCACTTTTGCCAAAAAAGTCGGGACGGCCGGGACAGGGCTTAAAAAGGGACTATCCTGGCCAAAACAGGATGTATGGTCACCCTATGTCACATGTTTTGAAACTTTTCCCAAGCATTATGCATGGCACTGGTGTCCACCACAATAGTTATCAGATGAAACAGTATGGCACGCAAGCAACACTCTCCACTCAAAAAACTCAAGAAAGTATTTGAATGGAAAATGTGGGCCAACCAATTTGGCAACAGGGTCATTTGATCAGGAATATGCTGGAGACAAATCCCTATATAGTGAACACAAGTTCTGATTGCCTTCGTGTCACCTACACCTGAGATCCCATCAGCCTAAGGGGCTTTGCCACAAACCAGCTAATCATGGCAAAGAGAACACCTAGAGCAAATCAGATGGAGGTATTACATGACATTGATACAAAATATTATGCTCTCCTATTTTAAACCTTTTCAAGTCACCAGCTTCAGGATGAAAGTCCCCAAGGTCTCGAGGGATTCATATTAGCAGCTGCGGAGTGGTGAGACACTTGGATCTCTAGCATTATTTGCTGGTGCCAGTGGCACATGAGAGCCACCCACCTTCAGGGATATTGCCACAAACCAGCTAGTCATGGGAAACAGGAATCTGAGCAGGGAGAAGGCTCACAATAATGGAGAGGTTCTGGGATCCCACCTTGGGATCTGCAGGTGCTCAGATTCTGGAATTTAGTGGATGATACTTTATAGTTTGGGGTCATTTGTATGACAATAACACTGCATATGGATTAATGATTATTATAGTTTTAGAACACATCACTGTTACAGAATACATATGGGTTTTGATTAATACAGGTAAAAATGTGATCAAAAGATATTTGAAAAACCTAAGTTTAGTGAGGCATAATTACCTAAATTGGGTCCCATTCTGCAATCTTCTGAGCATCCTTAGCTCCTGGCTAATGTCAGTGGGAAGTGAGGCACTCAAGACCTCTCAGGATCAGGCCCATAAACCGTAAGCCAGCTCTATTAACATTAATAGTGTTATTCACAAACAAAGCAAGTTCAAATAAGCAAGCTGATGCATGGAAATTTCCACCTGCCACTTTCTAAGCAGTAGTAATGCCAAAAAGATTAATGAAGTAGGTCATTTTCAGCGTGTCCCACTGGCTGAGAAAAAAGAAAAGAAAAGCTAAAGCTTTTATTCTTTATACTATATACAGGTCACTTAGAACAAAGTAATGTACTAGCCACAGCATGTTTGTCTACAAGAAATCCATCCTTTCCCATAACAGACAACTTTAATTTTGCCAGAAGTCCTGTCATAGAGTTTAGCAGCTTTTAAAAACACACATAACAGAAATTGGTGGAGTGAAGCCATTAAAAGCATGGACAGTAAGTGCTCTGTTCTCCAGTGTAGTTACACCTGCAGCACTTAGGATCAATCCTCTGCCCTCTGACGTCCATGATTAAAAACTCCATTGATTTCATTAGGAAGCTAGAACAAGCTTCAATTCAGGGGGGAAATGTTAGTGATTAAAGTTACTGAATTACAGAAAGCTTCTGCCTGGGAATAAAGCTTACACCAGTTTAGCTCCTATAGCATTCTCCAGTTCAAAATTAGTCAGCTTCATTGGTCTTACTCTTCATTAGCACCCTCTTCCCCTTGTGTGCAACCTGATCGTATACATTATGAAGCGCAAACACTGGAAATATGCTGACTGCATTGGGGGGAGGGTGTTTCATGTGATCAGGCCTTTTCTCAAGAGTGTTCATTTTTAACACAGTACATAGCTGAAGAATGGTCAGCACCAATATTAACTATGACGCATTGCAGATGTTCTACTGCTTTCTGAACAGAGTATCACAAATTCTAGCTTAAGCCAAGGTTGTTGTGAAAAGCCTTAATATCTGGGTTGTGCTGGGAGTTCAGCCAACACTGTGATCAGGAGAGGACAAGGAATGGAAAACCCCTCAACCACATAGCAGCACCAGGGATGCTACAGGTGCCGTCATGGTAGATGAGCTACACTCCCTGTATCGCTACCCTGAAACTTCTTGCGTGCTAGTCCGGAAGGCCCCGTGGATGAGGTTCACAGTGCACAGGTTGCAGACTCATCTTGCCCCATGTCCCCCACCCCCAATGCAGCAGACTATCACCAGCGTTTCAATTCAGGACGCTGCAGAGCCACCGAGATGGTGGGTTAAGCCCAGCATTTGGCCTTAAAAATGTGCATAGTCATTTTGTAGGAAAAATGGGGAGAATTACACAAACCCTGGCTATCTCTTATTCCACGCACATTACCTCTTTGGGTATCCAGGCCACTTCCTTCCACTTCTGGTGTATCCTCTAGTCATTGTTTGACCTGGGTCATCAAATTTACCCAATGCCAATATCAACAGTAACGTTTTCAAAGACAACGTCTTAATTGGCACTCGCAGTTCTGCACAAGCAAAGGGTGGTTTGAGGCCCCTTTGAATATTGGGCTGCAAGTACTTGTCAGAGCTATTCATGTTATTAGTGAGGAGAGCTCTGCAAGTATGCACAGGCGTTATTGAATGACCACGATTAGCAGCATCATTTCAGGGAACATTCTCCATGCATTTTTATAACTAGATCTATAGGAACCTGACTTCAACATAAAATAAATCCAGAATCTCCATTCAATCCTGGGTTTTTGTGGCACACTTTTTATGTATTAAACAGGCTCATAGGAGGCAGTAGCTACACCCAGCATGGGATGTAAATAAAAGGAACTTAATTGCTTGTTGTTGTTTTTAAGCAAGCTTTTCTGGTGATGATTCAAATAAGAATGTGCTTCTCTCTTGTTTAGTGTTTGACCACTATTATCATCATGCTTGTTGGAGACACGTACACATTAATTAATTACGTATCGTTTATTAACTACCTCTGCTATGGAGTGACAATCATAGGCCTGATTGTGTTGCGCTGGAAGAAACCCAAAATCTTCAGACCTATCAAGGTAAAAATATTTAAGCCAAATTTCTTAGTCCTATGATCTTCCTATTAATAAGCTAAAGAATGTGTCAACCACAGCAAATCCCTCAAATCCCTTATCAAACCTTGAAGTACTATTTATTATTATTTCTGTTGTTTATTATGGTAGTGCCTAGACGCCCTGTGGTGGGAGGTACTATACAAACACATAGCAAGAGATACGTCTCTGCCAAGTAGTAGTTATAGTCTAAAGAGACAAGGCAGACAAAGGATGGGAGACGAAATAGAGACACAGCTAATTGAAGCCTCAGCTCACACAGCTGCGTTTTGTCAGAGGTAGAAGTAGAAGCCAGGTCTTGTGACTCCCAGTCCATTGCTCGATCCACTAGCCCTCACTGCCTCTCCCCTCTATACCTTGCAGAATGCGGTTACATTTCTGTACATTTCTCTTCTCTTCCCTCCCCTCTTAGGTGAATCTCCTTGTTCCAGTCACTTACCTGCTATTTTGGGCATTTCTACTGATCTTCAGTTTCTATTCTGAGCCAGTTGTCTGTGGAATTGGACTAATTATCATATTAACTGGAGTGCCCGTGTTTTTTCTCGGAGTGTACTGGAGAAATAAACCAAAGTGTGTAAATAGGCTAGCTGGTAAGAACACATTATGGTTCATTAATTCAGCCTCACTGTTTGTTCATGAACATGTAGGAATTTGTTTCAACCTTTCAGGTCTACATTTCTACAAATCCACAAAGGGTCCCAGTGACTGTGTGGCATTCACCAAAACTACCATTAAATTATGCAGCTCTGCGGAGCTCTTTGGACAGGATTTTGCTGAGCAAAGTGTTTAGATTTTACCCCAATTATTTACTTCTTGACCACATGAAAGAGAACTTAATGCCAATACACAATATAAAGCTAGAAGCAGGAAAACGTGATGCATATGGCACAAGAGATCATCAGATTTATAATTGAGCATAGGAAAACTGCCTATTGATAAAGATACTCCTGCCAATTTTTAGACCCTAAACCTGTACACAGAAGAAACTAGGTGTCTCTCAAACTACAGACATTTCAGTGCTTAATTTTTGAATAAGACATAAGGATGCTACGGTCAGGCTGTGAATTGCAAACAGATAAACAGATAAAAATCAACAGACTAGAGAGAGCAAAAAAAGGAGAGAGAGAGAGAGAGTGAGTGGTGAAGAGGTGTGGTTAGCATGTGACTGTCAGTAAAATACAGAAGAGCACTACTAGTTTACCCGTTCTTTTCTGCAAAGAAGCTGACATCCCATGTGCAAAAGTGCTCTTCTCATTAATACACCACTTTCTAGAATTTAGCAAAGGTTTCAGTGGCTTTTACATTGGGGAAATATTCAAAAAGTAACCTTATTGAAATGATTATTTCATAATGGTATCCAGATAGGGATAGCCTGGGTTTACTGCCAGGTCCCAGAGATGTAAGCTGAGCCATCTGACATACTCCATTCAGCTGGATTATGAGTAGTCAGCTGTGGGAAGAGGCAGGAAATGTCAAATTTTATTTTTATGATGCTGTAACTTGTTCATTTAGGTTACTGTAGTTCTCCCTTTGCATGTTTTCCGCCCCTCTTTGACATTGCACATTCCTCCATTCATCCAGCTTGCTTATTTGGCCTGTTCAGCAAAGCACTTATTCAGGAGTGTACCTATAAGCATGCAAGTAAGTCTCATTGAGCTCAAGTGCTAAATAAATAATAAACCAACACTTAAGTGCTTTGGCAAATCAGACGTTAGCTCTATCCCACTCCTACCCTACTTTTGTGTCAATTTTGTATGTGTTCATTCCCCCAACACATTACTGATATACATCCCAATGTACGTCCAGAATTCCCACATGCATAAGATAGGAAAGTCAGGATCTACCACTCCCATGAAAATAAATTACACACCAGTCATACATCTTAGCTAGAAAAAGGTCTTTGAGGTTTTTTGTTTTTGTTTTTTTAAATTTGCTTTAAGGCTAGGATGTCCAAAGGAGTCTAGAAAGGTTAGGAACCTTCCACCCTTAACTCCCTTAGGGTCCTTTGACTCTCAAGACTCAATGCTTTAGGGAAAAAATCAATTCATCATTTTAACTGGAAAAGAGCAATAATATGGTATGATGGGGTAAGCCTCACCATACTTGGACTTGCATAAACAGCAGAACTTTGAATGTATATGTGCTCACATAGGAGATTGCTTGAGAGGACTCAAATAATCATCACATTAACAAAGTGAGTTTGTGTTTTTCATAGAATCCATGACATACTGGGGACAGAAGTTGTGTTTCGTCGTCCACCCTCAGGAGGGAGCTCCAGAAGAGGATGATCTGTCTTTCACTCAGTCTCAGCTACCAGGAAGTGAAAAGTCCTTGAAGAAACAGTGAAAAGTCCTTGAAGAAATAATGAAGCAATAATGAGACAGAAGTAGTTTTTTGTTTACATGTTGATTTTTGCAAAAAGTTTTTCTTGAAAAAAAAATGTTTTTAGAAATTGGATACAGAAGCCCATGAAATGAGCTACACTTTTACAAGAGTCCTTAGTGCTTAGCTTTTCCTAAAAAAAATAAAATAAGGAGCTGGTTATTTATTTCTGACAGTGTATTTCAGTCAGCAAGGAAGTTTAGTGCAGATACAGTAAGCTAAGTTCTTCATCACCAATTCCAGCAGCCTTCGGGATTAATCTGGAAATTTCAAGATTGGGGCCTCCTCCAATAGTGAAAATAAAATGGGGAAAGTCAATGGAATAGGGGAAGCCTATGGTCCTACTCATGCTCCCACTGGAGTCAGTGACAAAACTCTAATTGATTTCACTGGCACAGGATCAGACCCCACATGACCCATGTAGTTTTCAAATTAAAATCTAAAAAACTCAATTGTGCGAACACTTCTGCCCGTGAATAACTTTACCCCTGAGAGCAAAGTTACACGCAAGCCTATGTATTCGCAAGTTTGGGTATTAAAATTGTGACCGTTGTTAGCGTGAACAGTAAGGGTATGTCTACACATCAAAGAAAAACCCACTGCTGCGGTTCGTGGGGCTCAGCTCGGGGGGCTGTTTCATTGCTGTGTAGACCAGGCTCAGGCTGGAGCCTGGTCTCTGACACCATACATGTGGGAAGGTCCCAAAGCTCAGACTCCAGCCCAAGCCCAGAAGTCTACACAACAATGAAACAGCACCGCAGCCTGAGCCCTGCGGGACTGAGTCAGCTGGCATGGGCCAGCCGCGGGTTTTTCTTTGCTGTGTAGACGTACCCTAAGAGCTTATCCAGGGTATTTATATACAATACATTAGAGCTGAATGTATAACTTCTACACTGTATTTGATCATTTTTATCATCGTTCAATTATGTAAAGAAACCATGGAAATTGTGATATGATCTAAAGTAACTTCAGTCTTCAAGCAGTTTTGCAAACAAGGAGTTGGGGTTTGTAGTATGAAATCTGAACAGCTCTGTTATTACAATAACCAGAAAAAAAGGTGGGTGAGGTAATATCTTTTATCTGACCAACTTCTTTTGGTGAAAGAGACAAGCTTTCAAATTTTAAAAAATGTATTTAAACTGATTTTAAACTTGGTTAGTCACTTCTTATAGCATATACTTTTTCTTCAAACAGGAATTGCAAGCAATATTTGTGTAAAACAAAAACACCAGCCTCAAGTACCACAATCTTTACGTCTATACATTTGATGTGCTACTTTAACAAACAAATGCCAATAGAGCAAGTATTGGCTAATCATTGGTGCTTCTAGGACAGGCTATCTATCTAAGGACTCCTCTACATGGGAAAGTTTCAGTATAACCTAAGGTGTGAATTTAAAAGTGATGGTTATACAAGGACCTCCTCCCACCCTATGGACACTTATAGTTAGGGCCCTACCAAATTCATGGTCCATTTTGGTTAATTTCATAGTCATATGATTTCAAAAACCTTAAATTCATGATTTCAGCTATTTAGATCTGAAATGTCATGGTGTTGTAATTGTAAGGGTCCTGACCCAAAAAGGAGTTGTGGGGGGTTCGCAAGGTTATTGGAGGGGGCATTGTGGTACTGCTATGGGTACTTCTGCACTGCTGCTGGTGGTGGTACTGCCTGCAGAGCTGGGCAGCTGGAGAGCGGCGGCTGCTGGCCGGGAGCCCAGCTCTGAAGGCAGAGCCGCAGCCAGCAGCAGCACGGAAGTAAGGATGGCATGGGATGGTATTGCCACCCTTACTTCTGCACCGCTGCCTGCAAAGCTGAGCCCTTGGTCAGCAGCCACCACTCTCTGGCCACCCAGCTCTGAAGGCAGCGCAGAAGTAGGGCTGGCAATACCGTGACTCCCCTAAAATAACCTTGTGACCCCCCCTGCAACTCCCTTTTGGATCAGGACCCTCAATTTGAGAAACGCTGGCCTCCCCCATGAAATCTATATAGGGTAAAAGTACACAAAAGACCAGATTTCACAGTCCATGATGTGTTTTCATGGCCAGTGAAATTGATAGGTCCCCACTTCTAGTATTAAAAGCTGGGGGCGGGGGTTTAGTTTGTTTCTTGGGAAAGGATTTAAGCTAAACCAAAGTCACTCATATAGTAGCCACACAGGGAAGTTCAGAGTGATATAACTGGTAAAAAACTCTCATGTAAGCAAGCATAGACAGCACAGAAAGGCATTGGAAAAGGTACTCGGACCTTACAATGATGCGCATGTGCCACCTCAGCTGCACTGTTGTAGGATAAGCAGCGTAGTGCCTCTTTGTCGCCAGGAGATAGTTCTCCCGACAAAAAAATAAAACCACTCCCAATGAGGGACGGTAGCTTCGTCGCTGGGAAAGCATCTCCTGCCAACGAAGCCTTGTCCACGCTAGCGCTTTTCATCATTAAAAGTTGTGTTGTTCTGGGGGGGTTTTTTTCACCCCCCTGACCAAAGAAATTTGAACGACTTAAGTGCAGTGTAGACATAGCTTGAATATCACAACTAAATACAAGGTGGAACAGAGTGTTTAGCATAAGTAGTTCACGCATATCTAAGAGACTATTCAAGGTGTTAAGAGTTCAGTGTAGTTCAAAAGCTTCTCTCTTTCACCAACAGAAGTTGGTCCAATAAAAGATATTACCTCACCCACCTTGTCTCTCTAATATCCTGGGACCAACATGGCAAACAACATTACAATAACCATATATTTATGCTAAACTTAGTAAAGTTCTACTGTCAAATGGGAAGAAAAAGAACTCTACTGTGTTTCTAGTATAAATGCAATGGGAAAAAAAGGAACAAATTCTGGTATATTTCTATTTTTTCTAATGTGCTCACACAAAAATTCACCTCGCCTTTGAAGACAAACTCCACATTTCACCCATGTTCAATGAAGAAACTGTCCTTAATTTTTTTACCACCAGATGCTCATTAGAAGGTGCCTTGGTATGTTTGTAGTTGTAACAAATTGATATGTTTAGAGTTCTAGTAGTGGCTTATTTGCTAAATTTATGGTGGTTGCAAATGTAAAAATGTAACCATTTTCATACCAAAGAATCTTTTGAAAAACGCAAAATCACAGAATAGCTCTAAGCAATATTCCAATAGCTACTACTTTGTTGTAACTTTTAGAAATATAGATGATCATATTTACTACTTTTAAAATAGCCATATCAATTTTAATTTGCAAGTATCATGATTTACTGTATTTTAAAGGCCTTGGTACAACAATTAAGGATTCAATTGGTCTCTTAGTTTGTCAAGTACCATAGGACTACTCTCTACAAATACACTGAACCTGAGACTCAGACTATGAGGCAAGTTCAAGGAAAGCATCTTCCAACTGAATTTAGAATTTAGAATGTGTTTTTATTTTAAATATATACATTCAGATGGTATATATCCAGATCTTTCAGACAGTAGATATTTTAAAAGGAAGCACAATATACCCTCCTCTCTTTGTATGAAGCGGTTAATCAAGAGATTATTAAACTATATATGTAGTTAGAGAGAAAGTGTGTGTTGTGTATATACATATATAAATGCTAGAGAGACTCCACATTTAAATAATCTTTTGAATATGTAGCTTTGCAAATGAAAGTTACAAACATGAAGCCACATTTTTGACAGAGGATGGACGCCCATCACTGTGCTGAAGACAACAAATTTATATTGATTTAGCATGATTTACCTTTATACATGATTTACCTTTGCCTGTCAAGGCTTTCATGACCAAGATTCTGATGTTCTTTAGATTAAAATTCATGCTCAGTGACAGTTTCAGAAAAGATTCCTTCCCCTTCCAATATCACAAGATAGCAAATTATATAGAATTTAGCATCAACAATAGTTTATTTCCCCCAACAATGAAGATATGAAAGTTGACTGGAGTTTAGGCTTTGCAGAACTCTTCAGCAACAAGCCTGTGCTGTTATGAGAAAGGCACAAATAATAATAATATACTGCAACTGCTGTCATGGTTTCACTTAGATTGTTTGTTTGTTTGTTTGTTTAAGGAAATGAAAATCAGAATTAAAGGACCAATTGCCTCGCAGTTGTTAATTGTTTTTGGCTAAAATCTTTCCTGATTCTGCTACATTTTCATACTTTAAAAATAAGAACCCTCTGGGCTTAAAATCAGGAGGCTGAACTTAGAGATTCAGGGTTTTAGTCTGGGCCCATCTTTAATCCATAAATCACCTCATTTGAAAGCTGTTTCAGCATGTTCTATTTAGTGATCACAAACAGCTTCATTTATAATCTCAACAAAATTATATTTAAAATTTTTTACATTAAAGTTAGTTTCTAATTTATAAAATATCTGACTGTCAAAATCAACATGCCCAACCAGCAAGATAATTTCATGCTCCACCAACGAAAAAGATCTAATGATTTAAGATGGATTTCATATCTTTTTAAATAAGTGAAGGAAATGACATCAAAACTTCTATTACTCAGACTTCTGTCTCTCTTTCTGTCTTCGGTATTTTTAGAATGTTCATCATTGTCCTAGCGTTCCTAAAGATGGTAGAAAATGGCCTATTAGTCCAAATTTAACATTCTTGTTATCATTTTAAAGCAAACTATCAGCCTAGTCAGCCAGTTTTTACCACAATATATTTTAAATAAAAGGGGAAAAGTGGGGAAATGGAGCCAATTTGATACAAAAAGTCATGTCAGGAATCTCTTGATATTTGATAGAACAGAGTGAATAGCGTCAGGGCCGGCTCTGGCTTTTTTGCCGCCCCAGGCAAAAAAGCCTCCGGCCGCCCCCCCCC